TCATCTTTTATATCTTTATTTTTAAAATGAATGTATTTAAAATGCCAAAGAATAAAGTAGGTTTCAACAAAATAATCCTCCCAGATTGCCTAAAAATTAGAACATTAGTAAGCCATAAGGACTAAATTGACAGCTGCTATTCTCATGATTTAGTTTTAACTTCCCCTGCCTGACTGGTGCCACTACCACATGAGGCTGGTTGGCGAGACTTTGTGGGGGTCCAGTATGCCAGTCTGTTATCAGCTTTAGGTGAATCAACTGATACTACTGACTCAGCACAGGTTTTATACTTAATTTGGGTCATAACATTTTCTTTGCTACAAAGAATTACTTGCTTTGGTCACTCTTGCGAACAGAACACGGGGGATGGATATCTTCAATAACGTTCAAGATAAATGTCGTGAAGTTGGACTGAATTTGGTAAATTTAGTAAGTTCATCTGACAGTGCACCTTCCGTGACAGGAAAACATGAAGGGTTTATTGCCCAGATAAAAAAGGTATTTACATATCCAGATGTTCTCATTTCTTTTCATTGTATTTTGCATCAGCAAAATCTCTGTGCTAAAGCTACTATTTTAAATGACACTTTGCAACAAGTTATAGGTAGTGTTAACTATATTCATGCAAATGCAACACAACGTCATCAGTTTCATAACATGCTAAAGTTGAACAATGAGGTATTAATTGTGAATTTGCTGTATCATTCTAAAGTGTGTTGGCTGTCACAGGGACAGATGTTAGCCAAAATTTTATCTCTGTGAGAACAGATAGTTAAATTTTATGAAGAACAGACTCAGCAATGTGAGTTATTGGAAGAATATTTCTATAGGAATGCAGTATTTCTGTGTGATATCATGTCAAATCAAAATGACTTGAATATTTCTTTGCGAGGTAAAACTAAGTCTATACATGATATGAGGCAAAAAAATCCAAGCATTTTCAAAAAAAAGCTATCTTTTTTCAAAATAGTTCTTCAAAAGGAAATTTCAGATGAACATTTTCCCTGGTTAGCAAAGGTCGTTGATGAGCAGGATGATATATGGGAATAATTCGAAGAATACGCAGCTGTTACAGATGTACTAATTGGAGAATACAATGAAAGTTTCACTGACTTTGAGAATCATGACATCACACTCAAATTAGCATTTCAGCCTCACCTAATTGATATCACCAAGGCACCTAAAGAACTACAGATGGAATTGATTGAGATCTAAGTAGATGACATTTTAAAGTCATTGATGCTAAGAAAAATCCAACTGAAATATGGAAAAATGCATTAGAATATCCATATCTTCAGCAACATATCCAAAAAATGCTTTCTTGCTTTTCAGCCATTTATTGCTGTGAATCTACATTCTCCTGCCTACCCAAATCAAGACACCCTTAAGGTCACAAATGACTGATACCTGTCTAGAGTGGTGGTCCCCAACCATTGTGGCACCAGGGACCAGTTTCATGGAAGACAATTTTTCCACGGACCAGGGCGGGGGGTGTGGTTTCAGGATGATTCAAGCACATTACATTTATTGTGCAGTCAGACCTCTCTGTTGATGATAATCTGTATTTGCAGCTGCTCCCCAGCGCTAGCATTACCGCCTAAGCTCCACCTCAGATCATCAGGCATTAGATTCTCATAAGGAGCACACAACCTATATCCCTGGCATGTACAGTTTACAGTAGAGTTTGGGCTCCTATGGGAATCTAATGCTGCAGCTGATCTGATGGGAGGCGGAGCTTATTCAGTGATGCGAGTGATGGGGAGTAGCTGTAAATACAGATGAAGCTTTGCTTGCTTGCCCGCCATTCACCTCCTGCTGTGTGGCCCGGTTCCTAATAGGCCACAGACCAGTAACGGTCTGCTTCCTGGGGTTTGGGGACTGCAGCTCTAGAGGATCAACTGAAACTGTGGACCTCCATGCTGCAACCAAATAGTCAAATGCTTTCCAACAAAAAGGAGACACAACAAAGTCATTAAAAGGTTAGTTAACTTGAGGCCGGGCGTGGTGGCTCACTCCTGTAATCCTAGCACTCTGGGAGCCGAGGAGGGAGGATTGCTTGAGCTCAGGAGTTCGAGACCAGCCTGAGCAAGAGCGAGACCCCGTCTCTACTAAAAATAGAAAGAAATTGGCCAAACAACGAAAAATAGAAAAAATTAGCCGGGCATGGTGGCACACGCCTGTAGTCCCAGCTACTCGGGAGGCTGAGGCAGAAGGATTGCTTGAGCCCAGGAGTTTGAGGTTGCTGTGAGCTAGGCTGATGCCACGGCACTCTAGCCTGGGCAACAGAGCAAGACTCTATCTCAAAAAAAAAAAAAAAAGTTTAAAATTAACAACTAGTTTTTATTTTTTGAAATTATTAAGTACATAATAGTTAGATTTTTACAAAATAATGTACATTTTTAAGTATTAAATATATCTAATTGAAGTTTTTTGAATGTGGCCTTATTTGATTATATTATAGCAAAATTAATGCAGCCTTCCAGCATGAAAATGTTCCCCATACCTGATCTAGACATTATGTGTGCCCTTTCTGTTATTATCCCATTGGCCTTAGCTTAGTCATGTGGCACACTTCTCTGCAAGGGAAGCTAGGGAATGTAGTCTGTAGCTAGGTGATTATGTGCCTTGCCAAAATTTGGGACTTTCTGTAATTAAGGGGAAGAGAAGGGGAAAGGTACTTGAGGCCGTCAGTAGATGCCATACTTGGTGATTTTTGAAAGGTGGTGTTGCTAGGTGAGCATGGTACTCCTTTTGAATGTAGATACTCTGCAAGATGGAAACATTTGAGAACTACTGTTCTTTCTTCC